GGGAGGGGGGGGGAGAGAGAGCGAAGAGGGAGTCGTGAAACGTCGACTGGCCGGAGGCGGACTTACGTGAAATTCTCTTTGTATATGTGTTTGTAATTGTATGTGTTATTTTAAATACGTGTGGATGGTACATAGGTGTGTAGCTGTGCACTGACGACACATTTCCACCCCCGACCACTCGGTAAACTTCTGTCTGATCTATCCTGCAGGTACCATGACCCCTCACTACCTTTTGTGCTCTCGAATAATCGGCGTCGTGTCCGGTGTTTCCTCCATCTTTTGTACGGTGATTTCTCTTTTTAACCTATCTTTCTTTTCTATGCTCTGTGTAGCGTATATCCAATAGTAAGTCCGATGCCACACGATATCTCGGGAGATTGGATGGACGGCGATGGGTGGAGTGAGTTTATCAAACGAGTCGGTTTAATGAGAACAAAAAGACGAGGAGATTGAGAATTTCATTTATTGAAACCTTTATGGTGGGGAGATTCGGGAGAGGTAATACACGGGATGTTGGAGTATTCTTGATTCAAAGTTGAACTGATTTGAGGGAAAATTGGAGAATTAATTTTGAGCGGTTTTCATGAGTACAATCGTCTTGCGACGAATTTTCATGAAGCCCGCCTGATAAAGAAATGAGAATTGAATAGCATTCTATGAAACATGAATAAACGAATCATAATTGTCCAAATAATTTAGGTCAGGGGAAAATAGAATAATTCTACTCTTTTGATATTGCGTTTACTGAGATTTTCTTCGAACAAAGTTGATTAGAATTAATAGCTAGAATTATGAGATTATCTCACATTTTTTTAAGTTAAGGATAGGAAAATTGAATGCAATATAGTGAAAATGATGATCGATTTTTTCACTTTGAACAAATAATATTAATATTCAAATACAAAATTACTGATATGAATAAAAAGAAGCTGTGACTCAATATTCCAAATGAAGTTTTAATTTTTAATTTGGTGTATTCTAAGCATGGAATTATATTGATGAGATAAACAACAGATTAACTGAATTACCGTGTGAACTAACTAAAAATTGATAACAGTGTGGGCACGCACTTTTACCAGAGTATCAACAAACATTGAATTCCAGAAATTCACACTCTAAAGTGTGTTCTAGAAGGAATTGAATTGTAATTATGATTGAAATCGAATTCAGTGAGCGTAGGAATTAGAATATGAGCAAACCATTTATTATGATATGAAAAACATAATTAAAAAACCAATCATAAAGAAAAAATTGAAAAAAATTCACAAGGGTCGCACTTCTTTGACTTTTTTAGGTTCACAAGGGTCTAGAGTGACGCAAAACTCCATCAAAAACATCACATAAAGTTTATCATTAATGTAAATGAAACTTGGAGAAACTTTTCACAGAAATCTGAGGGAATTTCGTCATTAAAAATTCTAAATTTCATGAATTTTCCCCGAAAAAATTACTAAACCGCCCGTAAAATATCAATTTTTCCTCTAACAGTCTACATTAATATATTATATCCATTAATATACTGACTATATCATCTATTCACATTACTATTCATTATAAAAAATGAAAGAAGTCTATTAAATCATGCAAAAAAAATATTTCACATGACAGAAAGACACTTGATCATTCCCGCGTCAATTTTCTAAGGAAATATACCGAAATCGATCGGAAAAAAACGAGAATAGAGACAGCATGAACATGAACAAGCATACAACACGCAAAACACTCCCTCCGTACGTATCCCCCAGCCGCCATGTTCCTTCGGTGTCACATTGAAAACAGCGTTTCTGACGTGTCACTGATAAAACATCAGACTAGATAGACGAGACATTTTCTGATGCTACGGCTAGACGTGCAGGCCATCTCGGAGGCAAAAAGGCATAACCGTTCGAGGGGAGTTGTTGTTTCCCCGTGTTCTCGTGCAAAAACAATCGACTACTCTATTTTTTTGTGCGGTTTTAATGGTTTTCGTTTTTGGGAGTTCATTCTAGTGAATTTGGGGTTTTGAATGGATATTTACCGGTAACGTTATCGCCGCGTTGCTGCGGCCACCGGAAGGAGGGCCTGGGTTGTTGCTTGCTGCGCATATCTTCCGTCCGGCGCGGCGAGTCGGCCGCTTGCTTTTTGAACGATTGGAGACCACTACTTACCTGAAATTCAGAAGAAAAATAACGTGAAAAATAAGAATTATGACGAGATGTATAGCGAGAAATAGTTTTGGTAATTTAAGAAGAAGTGGTGGACAAAATTATCAAGCAATTGCACGGAGAGAAAAATTCAATAAAAATTACCAGAAAAATGAAAAATTACGTATCAAAACGTAATCCGCGAGCGAAGTAAAATGCAATTAAAAGTGAGAGCCGGAACTGGAATTGTACGAATCGACACGTAAATTCTACTATTTGTTCCGTAAAAATTAACTAGCCGTCTGATGACTCACCGCTGTGGGGACAACAAGTCGTTCCGTAATTTTTCCCCAACGATTGGGCAATTTTATGGAACGAAACGTAGAAATAACTCACCAGCTTCATAAAAATTGTTGAACGTTCGGCAAGTTTTTGTAAGATTTTACTTCTTCGTAATTTTTACTGAATATTTCTCTCCGTGTAGTAGTAATTGTTCTTGTGAGACATTTACATGTCTTTCGGGTAAATACATTCGTTCTACAGAGAATTATATGAGACTCGGATTTATCAAGTGAATATTATTGAGTAGTGTATATCTTTGTCCAATAAACACTTATAATTTCCATGGAACAAATGATAATTTCAAGAGGAAACTACAATTTTCTTGCCGAAAACTGTGTTATTGGCAGAACTAAATAATTACGAGAGACAATTTTTTTTGGCACAAAAAATATTCTTTCCTCGTCAATGTATTCTTTCTGTGGCATAAACCTATGGAGTTCTCTCAGATCAAATGATTGTCGTACAATAGATATTTTTTCCTGCCAACAGTTCGAATTCTTCTAGGGATATTTGTGATGATCACGACGAAAATTTAATTTTTGTTAAAGATATTAAATTTCTTTCTGTTGAGTTGGTTAATTTTCCTCAAGTAAATCACGTGGAACATATAGTTTTTCCGCAGGGCAAAGGTTTTCTCTCAGTATAATAAACCTTTTATTGAAATTTAAATACGATTTTCAGTTGCATTTTAATTCATGTTAAATTTATAGTTTTTTAAACAAAAAATTTTTTTTCTTGACTCTATTAACATGAGGAATTTATTAATTAATGTATTAATTTATTAACATGCAATAATTCTTCATGTGGAATGAATAAATAATCATTTTCATGTAATTAAAACATTATTGTCGAAATGAATATACAAGTTCATTAATTTTCAACAAAAATATCGTTAAAATGAATATAAAAATCCCAAATAATAAATATTATTTCAGTTGAATGCGTTTCTCTGAGAGCATTAAACTTCTAAAAAAAATATACAGTAAAAAAAAATGAAAATGAATGGCATTTGAATGTCATTCATGGAAACATTTAAAACATGAACTAAAAATTAGAATGAAAGAAAAATTTCTGTAAAGTGTTTTCGTTACATTTAAAATCATGAAAATTGAGTGCGACGTAGGGCCTTCCCTCCCCCTCCTGACGGTGTGCGTCATGGCCATTGAGGAGAGAGATATACGACCTCATGTGAGTATGTTTGCGCTCTACTCGGGAGATCGCTCCCCGGTGCGATAGTAGTGGTACGCGAAAATGCCTCTGCGAGGAGGAGAAGAACGACAGGGGGTGGTATATAGTTTTATCGGTGCGCCCTTATTCCCATTATTCCCCCTTTTCCTTTCCACCTCTCTCCGCCATTTCCACACCAGGTTTACTTTGGAATAGTCTCTCTCCTGCGGAGAGTGTAGTGCAGAGGGGGGGCTTGACGTTGGGCGCGAATTAAAACGCCTCATAAATATCTGAAACAAAGGCGGCCGTTTTCCGAGGGGGCGGGTATGAGGGTGAGAGAGATATACGACTGTACACTGGCGTTGGCGATGTGCGGTCTGCTCTTCCACGTGGCCATGGGTGAAGAGAGACTTCTAACTCAGGGGCTCTGGCGGAATATAGCTAGGAGGGTAAGGGAATGTGTGGACCGTCAGAAAAATGGTGCATTTGAATCGAATAAATAATTTATTGAGGTAAAATAACATTTTTATTCAATTCAAGAAAATTTATTCAGTGAATTGAACAATTTATTCATTTTAAATGAAGAGTTTTTTTATTTAAAAAAACGACATTCTTATAAAATCTCATTCCCCTAGANAGAAATTCACACTCTAAAGTGTGTTCCAGAAGCAATTAAATTGTAATTATGATTAAAATCTCATTCAGTGAGCATAGGAATTAGAACATGAGCGAATCATTTATTGTAATATGAAAATTTAACGGCTGCTGAATCGGGACGTATGAGTCTCGTCGGTCGAATTGGTTTTTGCAATGAAAATGATTATAAAGAATTAAATGAAATAAGAAATATCAAATCTGACAGAAAAAAGGCATCAACGCATTGTACGAAACATAAATGAACGAATCATAATTGTCCAAATCACTTAGGTCAGAGTAAAATAGAATAATTCCACTTTCTTAATATTGCATTTACTAAGGTTTTCTTCAAACAAAGTTGATGAGAATTAATGGCTAGAATTATGAGATTATCTCACATTTTTTACGTTAAGGATAGGAGAATCTGAATGCAATATTGTGAAAATGATGATGGATTTTTTCACTTTGAACAAATAATATTAATATTCAAATACAAAATTTCTGATGTCAATAAAAAGAAGCTGTGACTCAATATTCCAAATGAAGTTTTAGTTTTTAATTTGGTGCTGAAAACACGAGATGACAATATTCTAGAACGAAATTATATTGATGAGATGAACAACAGATTAGTTGAATTACCGTGTGAACTAACTAAAAATTGATAACAGTGTGGGCACGCATTTTTACCAGATTATCAACAAACATTGAATTCCAGAAATTCACACTCTAAAGGAATTAAATTGTAATTATGATTAAAATCTTCTTCAGTGAGCGTAGGAATTAGAACATGAGCAAATAATTTATTATAGTACAAAAATTCACCAGCTGATAAATTGGGACATATGATTCTCATCGATCACCTTGCTTTTTGCAATCAGCATAATCATAACAGGAAGCAGGACACCAATAAATGAACAACAATGTCCCGTCACCTACCCCGAAAAACCTCAAAAAATTCACCCAACCACTCTCCCCCAAATCCCCCACGTCTCCCAACCCCGACTCCCTATCAAAACCACTGCCAGGAAGCGAACCAAGACATCATAAATATCTCACTCGCAACTATATCCCGCAAGGTAAGGACTCGCCTTCCACCGAGAGGTAAACTTATACCCGAGGAGCTGTGGATGTATAAGTGAGTGGAGTGTGCGATGAGTCGCGGCTATCTGTCGCCTCTCCAATCCCCTGTGCCTCTTCCATACCCCCCCCCCCTTCCCCTCACCATCCGCCAACCTGAACGAGTAGAGTCACTGGGTGCACTCACCGTTCTTCTTTAACGTGCTACATCCCGACGCCATCCCGAGTTTTAACAGTAACCGTACGTCACCCTGACGGCCCTTCTGTCGGTCTTTTTACCCCCCCTCCCCCGCCCGCTAACCCACGTGTACGTGTATGTATATAACTATAGCCAACTATATCTTTGTCTCTTCGCGTAGAACACCCTCGCCACGCTCTCTCCTTAACAGCCTTCACTCTCTAAAAGCCCTGGGTGTGATCTATGGCGGGACGTTGCGTCACTCTGGGAACAGATGCAGAGATCGTATATTACCAGCGCCATATCTGGAGGAGAAAGAGGGGAAAAGGTATACGCCCGTATACATGAGCCACTGGGGGAGCGGAAAGGGGAATGGGGGGGGGGGGTACGAAAGGAGT